TCTCCCCCTAACGCACACCCCCGCGAATCAAGTTATAACTCACTGCCTATACATACTAACTACAATCCAAATCGCTCCTTCTCACATATCCCAAATACCTGGCGAGCAGATCTATTAACTCGACCTAATCAACCTAACAACCTTTCCCGACGACTTTCCAATTCTAACCCTCTACCTTCTTCACCCAGCCAACGCCTCGCCCCCCACACCGCCGGTGGCAACATTCCTCTTCCTTCATGCCCCGATTGCGTCGCCTCACGACACACGAATTTCTCTATCCCACATACTTTTAAACCAGGCAGAGTTTGACCACCCTCTGCCCCTCGGCAACGTTCTCAATTAGATAACCTTGTTACCCTAGCTGTATTAATTATATACGTATCACGGCGAACCCAGGATGGTCCCCTTGACTATCCCCGTAATACAATAGTAATAAATAGTAATACTTACCAGTCACCCAGATAGCTGTATTAATTATATACGTATCACGTATATACGTATACACGTATACACGTATATACGTATCACGGCGAACCTAGGATGGTCCCCTTGACTATACCCATTAATACAATAGTAATAAATAGTAATACTTACCGGTCACCCAGATAAATATATATACGCATTATAAAACCCACCCATAGGATTTACAAAAACAAAAATCCACAAGAGAATTCTTTCTCCTGTGTATTTTTTTGCGCTTTTCCATAGGTGATTTTCGATATCTAGGATTACGTAGACATCCCACATTCTTTTGTACCACATAACTATTACTTAGAAGCGAAAACCGGATAGTCTACCATATTATACAGCGGTCGCTCTATGGTCCCCACAACCATTCGCCGCATTAAATATATAAGAGAACTAACGACGCGATAATCATAAATCCACAGGAGAGTTCCTTCTCCTGTGCATTTACGTTGCATATAGACTTCCATGGGCATCTCCCCTAATGAGTACCCTCACTCCCCTACCTTAAGATTTAACACTAGTAAACTCCTCCTGGTCACCTTCGTCTACACATTTTTCCAGTATTAGGCAACCTTCGATCTGTCATTCAACCAGTAGCGAATTGTCAGCTCAATTACATTAGTTTTCTTTCTTAAACGCTACTACGTACCGCCCCGTCTGTCCACGAACCACGTACGCGACTCAGCAATACGTTTAGTATAACGGTATCTTCTACTCTACCTCTATATACTCAATTGCTACAACACTTTGTCCAATCTCACTTCACCGGTTGACTCAACACTTTACTCGCCCCCGATGTTATTCTCAATCCATATACCTTTTGGACCTACTGGACCACAATATTACTCTCCTCGCTTCAGGGCTCATCTCCCATGCTGTTCAAACAATTGCCGTCTCACTTACAACGATCCGACCCACCGACCACAATCTAGTTCCAACCCACCTTCTACCTTTTATCGCACACCTGAACCTCACCAAACCTGTTCTCCGCATCGACAGGACGGCTCGGCCAATCTCATATCTCCCACGAGGAAGAACGACCTTCCTCTCAGGGACGCCCTCATTCTCACCTGATTCTCTCCCCTCAAAACCAGTCTCCCTCCTGCCTCAATTGTGCATACTCATCCTGCAGACCATCCCACTCGACCCTTCCTCAGGCCATAACACCCATCACCCACCAACCCATATTCTTCTCCCAGACGACTCTCTTCTCCTCGCAACCTGCAGTATCGCCCCAGACACTGGCTCCTCCGTCTTGTATCTTCCACCCTGTGACAGTGAACGACGAACAGTTCATCAAGACCACACAACTTCTCTAGAGGAGGATTTCATACTCCCGTGCCATGGACCACCAAGTTCCCAAGTCGCCGAAGTCCACCTTCTCGTCCACCCAATTTTGGGCGTACAACAACTCAATCCTCATGCTGACCTATCTAGAAGAAATGCAATTGGCCTCCGAACTTCTTCGACTTTTTGATGCGAACTTTTTCTTCACCCCCAACCACCTCCTCCAAATGTGTGGAAAATTTACGTCCAGCCTTTCACCTCCACGCCCCTTTAATTTCACCGACTCTACAGCAGTGGATGAGAAATGGTTCAACGAATTCGCAGCCCTACACCCTGAATTATTCACCAACATCAATCTCCTCACCTATTATGGCGCTTATGGATTCTGCACACGAAACAATGAAAAACTCACCATTTTTCCCCCTTCAAAACTCCTACCGGTGCCAGGAAACCTACGTTTACTACCTCCACGCCCTCCCAAAAGGGGCCTCCTGTCATACGCTTACCAACTTTGTTCTTGTTCTCACTCCCCCCGCTATCTCCCGCGACTTAAACCGCGTCATACCACGTATCAAGATCACGCCGAACAAACAATCGAAACTGAGGAAACTTCTCCAATCCCCCCACTCTACCCGAACATACCCGCCGACGGCTCCAAACCTTCCCCACCACTTCCATCCACTCCCTCAAGGCCTGTGCCGGCTAACAGTAGGCCGTCCCCACCCCCAGATTCAACGCCATTCTCTCCATCAATGCAATCTCATCCAGCCGATCCGCCTCAACAATAAAAATACTTATAATTTCTTCGCGCCATCCGTTGCCATACGCCGCCACGCCGACATATGCCAATCACACTTTCTTTAACAACCAACGACAACGGATTCGCCAATCACACTTTCTCTAACAACCAACGACAACGGATTCTTTTTCTCTTACATAGATCCAACCCATCTCCTCACCCCACTTCTGCACCTCACCCAACCAGCGTGACAACGTTCCGACACCTAGATTCATATGGGATACGAGTCATATCCCACAACATGCATCGGATCCTCCTTGCCTAAATACGCCCCTTTACGTACATACTTCCCGCATACACAACCCTCTTTCAATTTTTTTTGAATCAAAAGGACACCTTCCACTCACCATAAGTTGGCCTCATTATTTTCTCGCCTTCCATTCACTCTGGAAGTTCCCGATCTCCCTTCTCCTACTTCAACGTTTTCAACAAGTAACCCAGTCTTCCCGACTCTGAAAGTGAAGACACATCGGTGATCCTCAACTACGCCTCATCGGCTCCAATCCAGTTTTTTTTTCACGACGATCATTCTCCAACCGCATAACCCAACATTCAACCATTGGACTACAACCACTTGCCAGTGCGCTGCCAAACACCAAAACACCCCACCATGGATCCACTCCTGCCATGCTTACCCGACATCACTTATCTCTCCCAACAGAACCGCCCGTACTCGATTATCTTTATGCTGACAGCCGAGGAAGAACTTTTATTGGTCTCAGAATTACGTCGCCTGTTCAAAATGGGACACCTCACCCATCTTCACCTTAAACAAATTTTTTATGTATTCGCCACAACAGTGAAACCCCCACGCTCCAACAAGTTTTGTCACGCCACTTCAACCGTTGACATTGCGTTGTTCGACGAATTTTGCAATAGACACCCAGAAATTATCTCCCACCCATCAGTCCTCACCCACCAAGGCGCATTCGACACCTGCAGCAGGCACAATCAAGCTTTGCTTTCCCTCCCCTCCTCAGCCCAAAATACTTGTGAGGCACATGGGTCACCAGTTATCACCCCCACGGCCGCCCCTTCCTCAAATCTACCCTCGAATTTTAAGACACGCCCCGGAATTCTATCTTATTCCGCCTCTCGTCGTCACTCTACACGTCCCATCAGATATCGACCACGCCATAGACTCTTACACACTTCCGGCCGTGAAGTTCCGTTTATGGGGGGTTGACTGCAGTGATGTTGGTGATGAGGAAGATGAGACGATCGTCGTCGTCGTTGTGGTGTGTGCGTAATAATTGGGAGGCGAGATGAGACTTGGTTGCACTTTTCTTATAGAGGTTTTATTTATCACTTGTACAACAGGCAGAACTCGGCCTCTCCCAATAATATTGGCAGAGGTAACATGCAGTAGCACAAAATACTACCTCGACTCGTCCTCCACCGTTCCCCCGTCTGGTGGCTGCGCTTTTGCTTATATATCGTAGCAACACCTAATTGATACCTATGTGTTGACCGATTATGAACCGGTTGGCCACGCTGAATAGAGATATCTCAGATGAGGTTGTGACGAAGCTGGTTTGCAACATCGTCTCTTGTTTGTAAGAGATGATGGAGGTGAGTGGCATACTAATTAAGGGGTTTGGCATTAATGAAGTTGACCAAACCTGCTCTTTCACAATATTCACCTCTAGTAAGCGGTGGCCCTACCGCAACAAGCGAACAAATGCGAGATGTAATTCAGTCAGATTCTGTGTACCTACTTGGCGTCAGCTTATTCAGAAAAGTCGGGAAAATTCGTCAAAAATCCAGGTTGAATCCAAGAAATCCAAGAAAATTTGTTTTTTTTTCAATTAAGAATGGATAGGTATGTATTCCCCCAAGATGGTGGTGGATGGACAATTGCATGTAAGCTTTGTTGACGTAAAGTGTGTTCGTGAATGAAATATTATGGGGAGGTATTTTAGCAGAATAAAATGCATGCATAAATGCGTGCATGGCTGGTAAAACTAAAACAGAATTTTAAAACTTATGTACGAAAGTCGGAAAATCATTAACGAAAAAATAAAAACTGAGGCAGCAGATTTTTGATGGAACAAATTAAGATTTAGATAGGAAAATTGTTAAAATTGGGAGTTTGAAAAATTGATAAAATTAAAATTCTTAGATAGGAAAATTGTTAAAATTGGGAGTTTGAAAAATTGTAAAAATTAAAATTCTTAGATAGGAAAATTGTTATAATTGGGAGTTTGAAAAATTGTAAAAATTAAAATTCTTAGATAGGAAAATTGTTAAAATTGGGTGAGGAGGACTGTATGTGTGTAGTCGATTGTGGACCGGATTGGAGCTGTCTGAAAAATATATATGTGCCCGGCAGGTCGAAGCAGAGTGAGCCAAAGACAGAGGAGTGCCAGATGTGAAAACAATGGTGTGATGACGAAAATACTAAAAGTAATAGACGATCAGTTATGAGTGCCAAGAGTTATCTAAATTAGTTCATAGATCCTACAATTAAAATGTCTTAGAATGTAACAGAAATTAATGTAAAATAAAAAGTACTCTAACAATTAAAGAAAAAATTGGTAAACAATAATGGTGATTAATACTGGGCTAAAAATTACGGAAATTAATATTGTCCTTATGAGTAGTTATGGTTACCTGTTCTTAAGATGGGATTATAATGATGATAAAAAAAATTATAAGTAACATGTGTTGGTTGATGTGTTTAGACCATGGTGGTAATCGAAGAATTATCTACTGCTATTAAATTATCTAATTATCTAATTATCTATGCTTCTTGTTAGATGATGACGCCGCAGCAGTTGGTACGGTGGTAAGTGGTTATCGTAGAGATGTCTGTAGATTGGGTCTGTGTTTATTGATTTTTATTTGTTTTTTTTAGTTGTTGCTTTTATTATTATTTATGTCGTTTTTTGTTTGGGGGGTGGTTGTGTTTGTGTTGGTTTATTTTTCTTCTTCCTTGCGAAGTAATGGTGACATGTGTTTAGGAGGTGGGCCCCAGAACTGAGATGCAGCCGGGTAGTAGTGGTGGAAGAGGGGCAACAGGCGGCAGGAATCATCAAGTAAGGGATGAGTTGTTTGCCAATTTAATAAAGATGAAACCCCTGAGTAGATGACCTGATAAAAAGATTGACTGTCGGAAATGGTTTGTATGTAGGTCCAATATTCGGGGCCGGTGTCTTCGGAGGAGGAGAACGACTTGGAGGCGTTGTTTGTTAAGGTAAGAAGCGGGGCTAGTAGTGTGTGGATGAAGGGGTGCGTACTTGCTTGAAGAGAAAAAGTGATGGTCTGATATTGTTTGAATTTGGCAGGTGAAACGTGTCCGGAAGGAGAAGAAGTCTTCCACTGGTGCAGGTGAGGAGACCGAGAGGAGCGCCAACCAGGCCGGTGGGAGCGGGAGGGTGATGGCGGGAGGAAAAACGAGGATAAAGGCCAGGTCGAAAAATGTAAGTGGAAGTAAGGGAGAACCGTTGTTGGAGGGGTTGGACAGAGGTGTAATGGCGAAGATAATAATTAATTGTCTTGTAAATGATTTCATTGGTTTCGGAGGAGGTGTCCATGTGGCCATGTCTTCATCGCGAGGGACCGATGGAGGTATCATCTGAAGAACTGCAATGGGGGTTCTTGCAATATAGGAAGATGTCATCTGATAGGATGCCAAGGAAATCCTAATCCAGAAGTAGATTATCGTCGTCGTAGATAAGTTTTTGTTGTGTCCAATAATGTGCACTATTTCCAATAATTTGTAACTGTGGTTAATTGTTTGCTGTCTAAATAAATTTGACAAAAGTTCCAATATCTCCGATAATTTGTAACCGTGGTTAATTTGTTTTTGTTGACGGAATAAAATTGACAAAATTTCCAATATCTCCAATAATTTGTAACCGTGGTTAATCGTTGGTCTTCTGAATGAAATTGATGGTGCTGAGTGGGTAAAACGGGTGTCTGAGTTGCTTGAAAGAACGAGAAGGGTGGGGTGTGGGGTTTCAGATGGACGGCGGAGAGAGGGATGGAGTCGCCGTTTAGTTTAAGTTTAGCCGCAAGCAGGGGAAGATTAGGGAGGGCATGGGTGAGTTGGCACGTAGGCATAAAATATTGTCCACGTTGAAAACAGGTTTTGTGAGATTCATCGGGGGAAGGGTGGTTGGCACGTAGTTATGGGTATGTCTCTGGATGGGAAAATTGATGTACGGGGGCGAGCACGGGGCTTACGTGTTGAGATGAAGAATCCGTATGAGGAGGGGGAGAGTTGGTGTAGGCGAAAATGTGTCGGGGGTTAGTATTATTGCTAGGGATATATATACAACTTTCTGGGCCGTGTACACGGTGCATGAAATGCCGAGAAGGTACAAAGTAGCTATCACAGCGTAGGGCGTGATGAGTTGTATTATGTACTATGGGTACCCTATGTGAGATATCAAAATTGTCTAAATTATCTAAAAAAAAATCCATGTGCAAATAATACACTGCAGAAAGAATTCTGTGGTGGATTGTTAAATCTATGGCTATGCTATATGGCTAATTTATTCTATATACATGTGAAGAAAGGGAACAGGAGAATAAATTCTCCTGTTTGTTTTTCTTCGATTTTACCCGTCTTTGGTTCTCCTAAAAAAATGCGGTGATGAGTCGAGAGGACCATCAGGTTCCCGCTATAATGTAATACTTACTGGTACGATTCCCCAAAAATTGTCGTGCAGTGGAGGCGAGTCTCTGATGCAAGAGCAAATTTTTGGTTGGGGGAATATGAAATGAGTTAAAAGTGTATGTATGTACATAAGATGCATCGGGTGTGATACCCTAGCGTATGGTAAACATGGATCCACCATGGAGTATATCTACGGAATTTAAAATTAAAAATGTATAAGGTGTAATATGGACTAACTATTTTACTGAACAAAAGTGTTTTTATGCATTTTATGGTTTATGTAATATTTTTGGGGTTAGTAGTACTTAAAAAAAATGAGGAGTGGTTGATCGTTTAGGTGCGGGCCCTGTGCTCGAAAAGATGGTCGTATATGAAGTTCGGAATATGTATTTAAAAATCGAGGATGAGATTGGTGTACAGCAAGGTGATCCGGGTGATTGGGGTTGTTAACCGAGGGGAGGAAGTGGCGCGGAAATTTTAACGGGGGGTATTAGGAGGTGGTGGGGGAAGTATATAATAAGCCTGTGCACCAGGAAGTGGGGGAGGAGGAGGACGAAAGTTGGGGGCGGAGTTCCGGTCCTGGAGGGGTTGCATCTGGATTTCCCGTTCACGCCGGCGATGTCGTTCGGCCGAGCGAAGTTGGCGGTCCTTGTCCATTCGGGTAAAATCTTGTCTAAGTTTTTGTTTTTTACAGATGTAAAAACATCCGAACATACATATCACTAAAACCAAGGTGATGAGGACGGAGGTCGTTATCAGGGCTATCAAGATGCGATGAGCGAATTTCTGTTCTGTGCCACAGTCGGTTGGTGGGGACAGGGGAACGGCTGATTCCAATAGCGAGGCAGCCTTGACGACAGGGGTATAGGCCGCGGTGGTGGCTACCCAGGGTAGGACGGAGGGGGTGTGACGGGCCCATAGGTATAGTACCGCGAAGGAGATGGCGACTTGCCATAGGAAGGCGAGGAAGTCCTGGTAGACGTGTGATTCCTCTTTGAGATGATTAAAAAAATGGTAAGAGGCGGGAAGATCAGGCAGGTCGGTGATTTGTGCGGGGTGTTGGAGTTTGCCATCGGCCCATTCGAGCTTAAAGATGGAGGACATGTTTTCGTAGGATGTTTTAGGAAGAAGGGCAGGTTTTACCATGATGATTTTGGTGACCTGGTCGTATGAGAGGTTAGCCCAGAAGGTAGGAATGACAAGGGAAACCTCGGGTAAAAGTGAGTGGGATTTCATGCACGGAAGGGGGTTGAAAACCGGGGAAAAGCTGGGGATGTTGATCCTACACGAGCACGGGAGATGAATGATTTGGGAGCCGACCGTATGCTCCGGTTTGACAAATTCTTGCGTCATGCGCCCATCCGGAAAAGTGCACTCGATGCTGGAATTGTGAGGCGGGTTGGTCAGGGCGAAGTTTTGATACCCGAGTTCCGTAATGTGTATGTCGCTAGAGCCTAAGGAGGGCCGGCAGGAAAAGGGACAGGAATCACGTATGACGTCGTTGGTGGCTCCTCGAACAAGACGAGTGAGGCAAAATAAATTTTTGGAGGTTCCCGAATATTCCCGGAAGTGGCAGTACCCATTGTCCGGTTGACAAGCGTGGGAATGGGTACTTTCAGTAGCTAGAGGTTTGTTATTGGTGAGAAGTACGGCGGTGTGGGGGGCGAGGCATTGGCTGGGTGAAGAAGGTAGAGGGTTAGAATTGGAAAGTGGTCGGGAGAGGTTGGTAGGTAGATTAGGTCGAGTTAATAGATCTGGTCGGCAGGTATTTGGGATATGTGAGGAGGAGCGATTTGGATTGTAGTTAGTGTGTATAGGCAGTGAGTTATAACGTGATTGGCGGGGGTGTGCGTTAGGGGAAGAATACAACGAGTGATTTTCACTACGAGGTCGGTTAGTATTGGGGTTATAGCGTCGTCTAGAATGGACTCTCCCACCTCCACCAAAATTACGGCCGTCACCATCCTGTATGTGATGTGTGCCTCGGAATTCTGTATTCCTGGATTGCCAGTGATTCGAAGGTGCTGTGATGTGGAATTGGCTATGTACATTCTGGCGGGTAGAGAAAACGCCACCACGGTTGATGGAATACGAAGATCTACCCCTATGGTTACGGTTACGGTTACCCTGTGAGGTGCGCTGTTGGTAGTTATTGTGTCTAAAACCACCCGTCGGTGGGGAATCTGCGAAGGTCATGTGCTGACCCGAGGAACGAGGGCGAGGTGCATCTAACATATGAATAGAATCTGAACCTGCAGAGACTACATGAGGCCTCATGTCGGATGTACCAATCCCTTGTTGTAATTGGGAAGGAAGTTGTTGGGCTAAGAGAGAGACGAAGTGCGGGTCGTTGGTCGATCGGGGATTGACAAATGGGGGGTGTGCATTACAGTCTTGAATGGAAGTAAACCTTAAGGCTTGAATGAGGTGGGCGAAAACTGCATCGTAGGAAGAAGATGTAGCGGGTGTGGGCCACCCCGTCAAATTGTCGATGTGAGAGATGTGTGGTGGGCAGGCGCAGAAGTCGCCATCAATGGTCGAGATATGCGAGGGAGGGAAAGGTGGTCGATAGAATGCGTTGGTATGGTGTGGAGGTACAGGTTGGAAGGAAGGTAGAATGTGAGGTGGCACAAAAATGTTAGCAGGGAGAGGTGCCGCGGGGGTTGGTAAAGGTTCCAACTCCGTATTAGGACAGACTTGTGGGAAAGAAAGAGGAGAGTTAGTGTCTGTCGGGGGTGAACATCCTGGAGAGATGGTGATGTCGTTGATAGTTGTCCCCATTTGGAAAAGAGTGGGTGATGCAATAATGAAAGGAAAAAATGGTGGTGGTTGAGGAGCTGAAGGTTGTTTTGGGCAGGGTCTCAACCACTGCTGGGAGGTGGAGTAAAAGATGTTGTGGTACCAATAAGGATTGAGGGGTTGATGGGCACGGAGTCGTTGTGCAGGAGGTTTCGTAGACTACGATGTTTGAGATGCGGTTTGGAGTGGAGTGTGGTGGTTGATGGAAGACGTTGGGGGCTGGCGTTTGGTTGAGGATAGAAAGTAGCGGGAGACAAGATACTAGTTTTGAGATAAAAAGTCGCAGGGATGGATGCTGCAGGTAGTTGATTTGCACTCGGAACTGGATTTTAGCTATCGGGGTCAGAAGAGAGAGGTGATGAGAGAGAAGCAGTTTCTGGTTGGGGTGAGCGTCTTGGACTCAAAATGATATCGTGGTGAGGAGCAACAACCTCGTTTTGAGGTGGAGATGTTGAAATTGGAAAGGGGGTGGCAGGTTGGAGAGATTGACCAAGTGACGTGGCACCAAAAGTATGCGGAACAACCTCGATTTGGGGTCGAGATGTTGAAATTGGAAAGTTCCTCGCTGATGGGAGAGATTGGCCAATCGACGTGGCACCAAAATTATGAGGACCAAGAGTGTGAGATGATGCTGGGGTTAATTCAGATGTAAGGCCGACTCGTCCGCCGAAAAATATTGGTCTAGTGGGCGTGCCGGATGAAAATGTGGATCGTATGTGGTTATAGGTAACCGGTAAGTAGGAGGAGAACGAGGATTCGGGGAGGCCGATGTGGGGTTAGTGGTTTGGGATGTGTAATATCGATGTCGAGAAATGAAATTATCCTCAATGCGGTCGAGTTGAACGAGCTGCCGCTCTCTCTTATTACAAAGTGCTGTGTGTCAGGTATGGGAAAAAAGAGCTATAACTACCAACACGCTAAATGAAACGGAGGATGCCCTAACGGCTGGAGAGAACAACGGGGT